ATATTTCTGATCAGAAGACACATTCTCCTGGTATATTAAAACTTACATAGACTAAATAAGATTAAGGCAAAGCTTCCAACGAGGAAAACGCATCAGTACTAAAAGTTTAAAGTCGACCAGAAGAGGCATTCTCCAGTTGTACAGAATTTCTCATTCAGCACTTGTGGAATGTGTTACATTTTGATTCGATTCAAGCAAGGGCAAGACAAGTCCAGTTCCTTGCATCAAGGCTTAATAATGCAGTAATGTTAAGTAATACTGTACCATTTCGAGATTAAGTGGTGTAGTGGCACCGACACACTCCATTAACAAAACCAACCTAAGTAGGACACACCAGTAAACTGGAAATGGGATATAATACATGTTAAGGAGTAAGACACGTGTGCAACAGTTGGGTATTTTACTGAAACGTTTCGCCTACGCAGTAGGCTTCTTCAGTGAATAAATTATAAGTAGCAGTAGTGGCGACGTAATGATACAATCAGTCCATCAATTTTGGAGAAAGTTTTTGAGGGACTGACCACCTCAAAAACTATTTCTTCAAGGCTGATGGACTGATATCTTTACCTCACCACTACTGCTGTCTCCTACTTTAGTCTCCTCTGCATTTGACTGAAGAAGCCTACCGCGTAAGCGAAACAGTGGAGATACATAACTGTTTCACATTTCTCTTATTCATCAGCCCACAGGAGAGGATGTTACATGTTATCACATTGAAACAAAATACGAGACTGACCTATGCAACATTGTTCATAGTTCACATGCAAATAGTAACTGTGAATCTTGTGCAAGATATAGTGCAACTGCTTTGAAAATTTGAAGTCGATCGAATAAAGCATTCTCGAGTTATACAAGAAGATTTAGGAGTTAGAAACGAAAATGTTGATGAGAAATGTTCTGAAAATAGTAAATTCTATCTTCGTTAAATTTAAAAACACCATAAAAATAAATTTTTTATATTAAAATTTTTCTCATTCATTATTTAGTTCTCTGCAATCCTTTAAGAAAAAAATATTTGATATAGATTTTTAAGGCCATTCAATTTGATAAACTTGGCTTAATTGACAAATTAGCACCATCATACTTACGCACTTTAAGATAAAAAAAAAAATGGTATTTTATGCAGATTGAAATTTGCGCAACTGAACGTTAATGCCAGTCATTGTTTTATTGAAGCACACCAAAAGTAAGTTCTTGAAAACCGTCACCCCTCATGGAAGGTTCCTTGAGTGTTGGTGAGGGGCTCTTGATTTAGGGAATTGGAACTGTGCTCCAGTTCCCCGAATTAAGCCTGAATGCCTTCCACATCCCCCCCGGGCGCTGTATAATCCTACGGGTTTAGCGCTTCCCCTTTGATTATAATAATAATAATAATTGAAAACCATCAGGAAGAGGCATTCTTTAGTAATTGATCTTATGCAATGATTCCAAGTGTGTGTGTGTGTTTGTGTGTGTGTTTGTGTGTTTAGTGTGTAGTTTGTGTGTGTGTGTTCTGTTGTGTGTGTTGTGTGTGCGGTTTCGTGTGTGCTGTTTGTGTGTTGTTGTTTGGTGTGTTGTGTTTGTGCTGTGTTTGGTGTGTGTTTGGTGTGTGTGTGTTTGTGTGTGTGTTTGTGTGTGTGTGTTTGTGTGTGTGTGTTTGTGTGTGTTTTGTGCTGTTTGTGTGTGATGTTTGTGGTGTGAGTTTTGATGTTGTGTGTGTGTGTTGTAGTGTTGTGTGTGTGTGTTGTGTGTTGTGTGTGTGTGTGTGTGTCGTGTGTATTGTGTGTAGATGTGTTTGGTGTGTTGTGTGTGTGTGTGTGTGTGTGTGTGTGTGTTTTGTGTGTGTGTGTTGTGTGTGTGTTGTGTGGTGTGTTTGTGTGTGTGTTTGTGTGTGTGTGTTGTGTGTGTGGTGTGTGTGTGTGTGTGTGTTTGTGTGTGTGTGTGTGTGTGTGTGTGTGTGTGTTTTCTAGTAAAATTTCAAATTTTCACCTACTCACACTAAACTTGTGGGGTAATATCCTTCTAAAGGTAGCCTCACCTCCAGCTTCTTCGCCATATTTCTGCTCTAATACACAAGGTTTGGCTGCGTCCCTGTGCTAGAGCCTGAAGGCACTGACCATCACTTACCAAGGGTGATGGAGTGATCTCGTCAGAACTACTACTACTGTCTCCAGTGTTGTACTCGCCTGTGTTTGAAGCCTATTGTGTAGGCGAAACGTTTCGTCACTGAAGATACCCAAGTTTTGGTTTAAAAGACATGTAAGCAAACACTGTGACATATTAGAAAACGTTTCGGTCCTAGGACCTTGATCTCTTCTAACATACAACGAATGAACGAAAGTTCAGGTAAGATCCCAAATGGGATGAGCGGGGAAGACGGGACAGACGAAGAATAGCGCTGGAGAGGAGTGTTCTTAGTCGTAGAAATAGAGCCAGGGCTTAACCCAGCAGCGAAGGCGATCGTGGGACAGATATTGAGAAGAGAAATGCAGGCTCTTCTGTTGGGACTCCGGTGGCGTGAGCGGGGAGGACGGGAAAGGTGAAGATTAGCGCTAGAGTGTAGAACTGAGCCATGTCTTAACCCTAAAGCTAAGGCGAACGTGGGTCAGAGAATGGTATCTGTCAGAGAAGGTACCTGTCAGAGAATCCAAGGTTATTTGTAAATAGGGTTAGGAGCAGGATCATACGAGTAGAAAAGGTTGTGTTGGTTTGTGGGTCTGCGAATGTCTTCAAGGAGAGATGTCCAGTAGTCATGTCGTGTCTCAAGTTTGTACTGAAAGACGCTCCGTGACAGACAGATTCAGCGCAGGGATGTCTAATTGGGCATGGAGAGACACTCTTGTGGCGAAGTCCTCCCATCTTACATCAAGCACCCAGCGCAGCGCCTTGTTCTGGACACGCTGCAGTTTAAGTTTGTTTTTGCTGCGAGAGAGGGCTAGAAGAGAGTAAGTTATCAGAGGACGTATTAGGGATTTGTAGAGGTTTAATTTGGTGCGTTGGGAGGCATGTTTCAGTTTGTAGAGGTCCGCAAGGGCCTTACTAGCTATTGCATGCCTTGAGTGAATGTGTCCGTGTAAACGAAGAAGGTAGTCAAGATTAACGCCAAGGACAGTGACAGATTGTGTGATGGGGATGTAAGTGCGGGTGTCAGCTGTTCTGAGCTCGACAGGTAATGGAGGATCACGTTTCCTGTAGTTAAAATATGTAATGCTAGATTTAGCTGTATTGGTTTTGATCCTCCATTTTTGTTCCCAGATGGCTATCCTGTCGACCTCATTTTGTTTTGTATGTGAGTGAATCTATATTGGCATGAGTGATAAGTTGTGTAATGTCGTCTGCATAGGCTAGTGTGATGGAGCTGTGGTATACAGGTGTTGGAATGTCGTTAGTGTATGAAATGTAGAGGGTAGGGGAGAGGACAGATCCCTGGGGTACTCCAGCATTTAGTGTGAAGTAGTCAGAGTAACAGCCTTGGAATTTGATTCTCATAGTGCGGCCGTCTAGGAAGTTGCAGAGGAGTTTACGAGTAGTGAGAGGCAGGTTAACGTTAGTGCAGAGTTTGTACTTGAGCCCTTCGTGCCAGACAGTGCCAAAAGCTTTTTCAACGTCTTTTGCAACCAGGGCTGTCCTGTTTCTTTGTTTTGTGTTTATGTGGATGTAGTTGAGAATGATGTTAATGGCATCATGTGTGGATCTGTGTGTTCTGAAGCCAAACTGGCCATCAGAAAGTAGAGAGTTGTGTTCCAGGTATCTGCGAAGGCGATGGTTGATGAGTTTTTCAAAGTTTTCCTAAAGTTTCGAGGAGGCTGATAGGGCGATAGTTTCTAGGATCAGAGTGGTCTTTTTTGGGTTTAGGAAGGAGGATAGCAGTAGCAGCTTTGAAGAGGAAAGGGAAGTATCCAGAAGCAAGGGAGGCATTGAGGAGGTTTGTGTAGGCAGTAATGATAGAGTCAAGGTGTTTTAGGATAATATGGTTTAGGCCAGAGGCACCAGGAGACTTGGGAGGAAGGTGTCTGAGGAGAGTTTTAATGTCTGTGTTGGTGAAAGGAGTGCCGAGTTCTTGGGAGGAGGTAAGAGAGTCCAGATGGATGTGGCTATCTGGTGTTGTTTCTTGTGTGTGTGCAGTGTTCCAGTGTTCTATGTTCTGAATGTGTTGAATAACGTTAGGGTGAGGTCTGGTTCGGTGAGAACGAGTTGTGCCTCATCCCAGTTCATCAAATGCCCCGTGGAGTCTCTGTGGAGAACACAGGCGTACCTTAAATCATCTCTGTTACAGGCACTTCGATGCTCGTTCAGGCGGACCACAAGATCTTTGCCTGTCTCACCTACATATTTCTTGGGAGGGAATCCACAGGGAATGGTGTAGACGCCTGCTGTGGAAGTTAGAGATGTGGGGCTGCGTTTCGTAGCCCCACAGCAGGCGTCTGCACCATCCCCTATGGATTCTGTCCCAAGAAATATATCGGCGAGACAGGCAGAGATCTTGCGGTTCGCCTGAACGAGCATCGAAGTGCCTGTAACAGAGATGATTTAAGGTACGCCTGTGTTCTCCACAGAGACTCCACGGGGCATTTGATGAACTGGGATGAGGCACAACTCGTTCTCACCGAACCAGACCTCAGACGTCGACGGTGCCTAGAAGCCTAGCTAATCGCCGTCACTGACACAATAGAACGAAACACTGGAAACCACAAAATTTCAAAAACATTAACATACCAACCCAACAACACAGGAGTCACGTGATCTTATCTTCTACCCATCCTCATACCACCTTGGCATTCTTCAGGTCACCATGTGTCACTCACACCTCACTCTCCGCCTATATATAATGTCTTTCTACCTCTGTATGTTAGAAGTGATCAAGGTCCGAAACGTTTTCTAATAAATGTCAGTGTTTGCTTACGTATCTTTCTAAACCAACTTGTCGGTATTTATTACCAAGGTTTATACATACCCAAGTGTTGCACATGTGTTATTCATCATAGATACTCTGTACACACTGGAAAAATGATAATGCGGTATTTCGATTCAAGCACAGATTCTTCTACAAAAAATCATTGATGCTACAATATTAATGAGATGCAGCAACATAGAAGAAAATGGAATTTTTTACAATTGGAATTGTTCCCAACTTCAAAACTATAAACAAATCCCTAAGGAAGATAAGTGATAACAAGCAAGTTCAAGGCTTCTGTAAATGTTATTTTACACAATCCTTCTCTTTTAAACTTGATTTGTTTAGCTAGATTAATTTGATGGAAGTGTGGGAACGGTACTCGTTTAGCAATAGAGTTGTAGATGTGTGAGCACACTGGTTGGTGGAGTCGTTGACCATGGACCAGTAGGTCTACTTCAGTGCTTATTTTCCTTGATCAGCTGATTTGTTTTCATATATAAGAGGTATGTCGTGTGATGCTCGACGACTATAAACACTTCAGCAGTGCAGATTGATCGACAGAGTATTCAGCACCATGAAAGTACAACACGCCTATAGAAACTCTCTTTTCCTGACTTACTAGAAATTTCTTCACCGCGATGTTGAAAATAAAATCATGCATGTATATTGTGACGATTAATAGTTTCTGCGATTTTCTTTCACCCTTTGATTTTTTTCGTTGGAGTATTTGAGTGTAAGAATACAAATCAGATAAGTTTATTAAATGTACCGTATGTTAACACTAGCTCGCACACGCGCGCACGCACACCCTCTTGCGTAATCTCAGTTACAAACAACGCGAAAGACATGAACTACAATGGAAGGAAAGTATATTGTAACTCGCTTATCGATTTTCATTCATTCCATCTCCTGACATTCCACGGGTTTTCCGCCGGCAATGAGGTCGTAGATGATTTGTTTCTCAGCTCTGGCGTTAAGGAGCCAGCGCAGTTCGCTGGAATCCGGAGGCTCCAGTTCGAGTATTGGGATAGCTGTGTCGAGCATGTTGACGGCGCGGGTCAGACCATCCTCGAACTCTTGTGACCTCTTGCCTCCACACGTGGCCAAGTGAAGGATGGCAGCATCTCTCTCCACCACTGCTGAGTTGTACAACGACACACCTGCAACCATAACTATTAATATCACCAACTATTTTTTTGTGGGTTAGAGGGAGAGGGAACAAGATTTCTTGGGTTCTTCGGCGTCGTTTTAGTAATTAATAGCGAGAAAAGTGTGTGTGTGTGTGTGTGTGTGTGTGTGTGTGTGTGTGTGTGTGTGTGTGTGTGTGTTGTATATATGTGTATGTATGTATATGTATGTATATGAATGTATGTATATATATATATATTGTGTGTGTCGTGCCGAATAGGTAAAACTTGCGATTTTGGCTAAAATAGCAACACACTTCTTGCCGAATAAGGCAAGCGAAAATTTGTGTATGCAATAATTCCGCAAAAATCATTTTGTTTGTTATTATTAAATTATTGTAAACTTATCTAAAATATATTTAGTTAGGCTAAATTAAATTGCGCTTGTTATAATGAGAGGTAAGTTTCCTAAGGTTCTTTTGGTACAAAATTATTAAGTTTTACATTAACATAAATGAAAAAATATCTTTGAACGTATAAGAGAAAATTTTTGAAAGGACTTAGTTTTAAATGAGTTCTTGCTAACTGACCAGTGTTCCGTATTCGAGACAGACACAGACACAGACACAGACACAGACACAGACACAGACAGACACAGACAGACACAGACACAGACACAGACACAGACACAGACACAGACACAGACACACAGACACAGACACACAGACACACACACAGACACACACACAGACACACACAGACACACACACACACACACACACACACACACACAGTGTTCTCTGTGATAAAACAAGTTTGGTACAACTGAAGGCTCGTTGTTATTGCGTCACTATTAACTGAGAATTTTATATAAAGAAATGGCTTAAACTAATATGGTTTCTGAAAGCTTTGCGCTGATAGGCTCGACGAACTATCGGATGATTACTGTAATCTTGTAATTTGTTTGATTCAGTTAATCCAAGACTTCAGTTGCGACATTTTTTTTTTTACGTTTATGAACATTGTTATGGTAAGGTTTATAAACATTTTTACGGCTAGGTTTATAAACATTGTTACGGCTAGGTTTATAAACATTGTTACGGCTAGGTTTATAAACATTGTTACGGTTAGGTTTAAACATTTTTACGGCTAGGTTTATAAACATTGTTACGGTTAGGTTTAAACATTTTTACGGCTAGGTTTATAAACATTGTTACGGCTAGGTTTATAAACATTGTTACGGCTAGGTTTATAAACATTGTTACGGCTAGGTTTATAAACATTGTTACGGCTAGGTTTATAAACATTGTTACGGCTTGGTTTATAAACATTCTTACGGCTTGGTTTATAAAACATTTTACGGCTAGGTTTATAAACATTCTTACGGCTAGGTTTATAAACATTCTTACGGCTAGGTTTATAAACATTCTTACGGCTAGGTTTATAAACATTCTTACGGCTAGGTTTATAAACATTCTTACGGCTAGGTTTATAAACATTCTTACGGCTAGGTTTATAAACATATTTACAGTTAGGTATATAAACATTCTTACGGTTAGATTTATTAAAATTTTTACGGTTAGGTTTATGAACATTCTTACGGTTAGGTTTATACATTCTTGGTAAGGTTTATAAACACACGTACTGAAGCTGGTTACAATCTACTACTCACGAAGTAGGATCGACTTTATACATGATGCTTACCACCTAGCTACGTCCATGGCTGGATTGTAATAATAATTCCAGGAATTTTTTTGTGCTATATTCATTATGAAGTTCCGAACTATTACTGTTCAACTGCCTCCCAGCATACATAAGGGGGATTACCAACAGACCCCTGGCAGTCTTCAAGCTGGCACTGGACAAGCACCTAAAGTCAGTTCCTGACCAGCCGGGCTGTGGCTCGTACGTTGGTTTGCGTGCAGCCAGCAGCAACAGCCTGGTTGATCAGGCTCTGATCCACCAGGAGGCCTGGTCACAGACCGGGCCGCGGGGGCGTTGACCCCCGGAACTCTGTCCAGGTAAACTCCAGGTATAGAGCGTTTGAGGAGTGGGGGGGGATCAGTAATGATCCTGAGAAGGGAAGGGCAGCTCTCTGGAACACAAGTCCTTACTACCTGGAGGTTATTCCGGGGATCAACGCCCCCGTGGCCCGGTCCATGACAAGGCCTCCCGGTGGATAAGGGCCTGATCAACCAGGCTGTTACTGCTGGCCTCACGCAGTCCAACGTACGAGCCACAGCCCGGCTGATCCGGCACTGACTTAAGGTATCTGTCCAGCTCTCTTGAAGGCAGCCAGGGGTTTATTGGTAATTCCCCTAATGCTTGATGGGAGGCTGTTGAACAGTCTTGGGCTACTAGCTTCTATCAGAGCAAAAGAATGTATTAAACATAGGAGAAGAGTCGAGTACAGGTACTCACCTCGTCTCCTGGTGAAGCCGGGCTCCAGCCTCTGGTACAGGTGTACAAGTTTCCGCCACAAGTCCCGACGGAGGTACAGGGACTGTAAAGTCTTTTCCTTCGAGAGTACGGACATAGCCGCTTGCGCCGCCGTCAGCCACACAAAATGGTTACCGTGGAAAGTGTTCACTATCCTTTCCAGCAGTTTGCAGACGTCTGTGAATGAGTGACACTTATTCTCGATACTAAATACGTAGTCTTCAGTTTCTTTGATGATGTCTTCTTCCAAACGTTGTGTACCACACCCAAGACAAGACCATGACGCCGCGTGGTCCGTGCTGGGTTCTAAGAACCTCTGGATACACGTTGGGCAGCGCGGGTTGGAGAAGTTGGTAGCCAGCTCCGTGGGGTCCCGACATCGCTCACAAGAACACGTAAAGAAATAAATATTTTTGAGATCACCTTGTCGTCGCCATATTGGGTCAGTTGGAGGAAGGTAGCTAAATAATAGAGGTTGTCCTTTCTTGATAGGCACGGCGGCACGCACAAACAGGGTCCGATTGAGGTCTGACCGCAAAGTTACGTTTGGCAGACAAGAGTGGTTCATTAGATAGAGGGTCGGGTATATACCGCGCAGGGTTACTCCACGAGAACCGTAGGTGTTTATGGCATTCGTGATAATGGCGCCGTGTATATGGCTTGCTGTGTCAGCGTCACAGTCTACCTGGAGAATCTCGCTGAAGTACTTCATTGCAGTCGTGTGGAAAGTTTCCTGAATTTCTTTGCGACGTTCCGAGTGGCTCTCCATTCCTTTAATCTTCTCCCAGCCTGCCGGGTCTGACGAGCGAAGGAGTAAACATCGAAGTACAAGAATGATGTCATAGCGCGGCGTTCTCGTCAAGCTAGTTGGTGGACCGATCCTCTTGGTGTCAGTAGCTAAGGCGCTGCACTCTGCCTGGTGAAGGGCAGTATCAGCACAATCTGGGGTACAGAGGGGCCAATAGCACCTCGGACATCGAGGGTGATCCTCAGCAGTGATAGGCGAGTGGCAGCCGAGGCACACAGGTGCAGTCTCAGCCACAGGACCCAACACCAGAGGCGCCTCACGTAGCACCAGCTGTCCTTCCTTCAAGTCCCGTGTTGCTACCAGGTACCTGATGAAGAAGAGTGTCACTTATATTATTACTTTTATACCACCCGTGTGAATCGCTAAGGACAAGGAGTGGTAAGAATTACATACGTGCAACAACTGGGTATCTTTATTATGTAGATGGCTTTATCAGTGTACTTATATATATATATATATATATATATAATATATAATATATATATATATATATATATATATATATATATATTATATATATATATATATTTATATATAATAATGTCGTGCCGAATATGTAAAACTGGTCAATTAGCAAGAACTCATTTAAAATTAAGTCCTTTCTGAAACTTTCTCTTATACGTTTAAAGATATATTTTTTTCATTAATGTTAATGTAAAATTTTTTTATTTTTCTCCAAAAGTCTTAGAAAACTTACCTAACCTTATTATAACAACAATTTATTTTAGCCTAACCAAACTAAATATATTTTAGATTTGTTTACAATAATTTAATACTAAAGAAACACAGTGAAATATATTTTTTTCGTTAGGTTCAGAATGATTTTGGCGAAATTATTGCATACACAAATTTTCACTTGTCTTATATGGCAAGATGAGCGTTGCTATTTAAGCCAAGATCGCAAGTTCTGCCTATTCGGCACGACATATATATATATATATATATTATATATATATATATATATATATATATATATATATATATATATATATATATATATATATATATATATAATGAATCGACCCCTGCAACCACAAATAGGTGAGTACACACACTGCAAGAAGGCATTCGGCATAGTTCCTGACAAGAGATTAGTGCAGAGGCTAGAGGATCAGGCACGTATAACAGGAAGGGCACTGCAATGGGTCAGAGAATACCGGACAGGGAGGCAACAGCGAGTCATGGTACGTGATGAGGTATCACAGTGGGCGCCTGTGACGACCGGGGTCCCACAGGGGTCAGTTCTGGGACTCGTTCAAGACTCTGTACACTGTGTACATCAGGCCCATACTGGAGTACGCAGCACCAGTTTGGAACCCACACCTGGTCAAGCACGTCAAGAAATTAGGGAAAGTGCAAAAGTTTGCAACAAGGCTGGTTTTAGGGCTAAGGGGAATGTCCTACTAAGAAAGGTTAAGGGAGATCGGCCTGACTACATTGGAGGACAGAAGGGTCAGGGGAGACATAATGACATACAAAATACTGCGTGGAATAGATAAGGTGGACAGACAGGATTTTCCAGAGATGGGACACAGAAACAAGGGGTCACAATTGGAAATTGAAGACTCAGAAGAGTCAAAGGGATGTTAGGAAGTATTTCTTCAGCCACAGAGTTGTCAGGCAGTGGAATAGTCTGGGAAGTGATATAGTGGAGGCAGGTACCATACATAGTTTTAAGACGAGGTATAATAAAGTTCATGGAGCAGGGAGAGGGAGCAGCCAGTAGCGGTCAGTGAAGAGGCGGGGCCAGGAGCTGAGTCTCAACCCTGCAACCACAAATAGGTGAGTACACACACACACACGCGTACACATACACACACACACACGCACGCACACGCACGCAGAAGACTGAAGGGGGTAGATGATGAGGTCATCAGTTCCTGGTAGGCGAAACGTCTACTAGATAAATACCCAGTTGTCGCGCATGTCTAATTCTTCACTGTCCTCTACTCTCACAGCAAGACTTCCCCACACAAGAAACTACAATTTTCATTGCTAATAACATGGCATTACTCTGAGTTCAAGTTTTGTTGGTTAAGTAGTGTTGTAGATGTACCACAACCCACTTTTCTACATAAACACGTCTTAAACCGTCTCAGTTCTTAAACTAATAGATCTCAAAACTACCACATCCCACCGTAACGCTCCTCTAGCCTACACTATCTTCGCTAGCCCATACTAACCTACTGTGATCCCTCTCAATATCTACCAATTCTTGAACAATAAGTCACAATAACGAGGTTGCAGCAGTTCCTTGAAAGTCGCATTAGCGAGGTTGTAACAGTTCCTGGAACAATAAGTCACAATAGCGAGGTTGTAACAGTTCCTGGAACAATAAGTCACAATAGCACACTAACAGCACCTTTCAAGGCAGGTGAAATTGCTGACCTAGAAAATGTACAGAGAACCTTCACGGCGCGCATAACGGAGATAAAACACCTCAATTACTGGGAGCGCTTGAGGTTCCTGAACCTGTATTCCCTGGAACGCAGGCGGGAGAGATACATGATTATATACACCTGGAAAATCCTAGAGGGACTAGTACCGAACTTGCACACGAAAATCACTCACTACGAAAGCAAAAGACTTGGCAGACGATGCAACATCCCCCCAATGAAAAGCAGGGGTGTCACTAGCACGTTAAGAGACCATACAATAAGTGTCAGGGGCCCGAGACTGTTCAACTGCCTCCCAGCATACATAAGGGGGATTACCAACAGACCCCTGGCAGTCTTCAAGCTGGCACTGGACAAGCACCTAAAGTCGGTTCCTGACCAGCCGGGCTGTGGCTCGTACGTTGGTTTGCGTGCAGCCAGCAGCAACAGCCTGGTTGATCAGGCTCTGATCCACCAGGAGGCCTGGTCACAGACCGGGCCGCGGGGGCGTTGACCCCCGGAACTCTCTCCAGGTAACTCCAGGATAGCGAGGTTGTAACAGTTCCTGGAACAATAAGTCACAATCGCGAGGTTGTAACAGTTCCTGAAACAAAAGTCACAATAGCGAGGTTGCAACAGTTCCTGGAACTTTGCCACAATAGCGAGGTTGCAACAGTTCCTGGAACATTGCCACAATAGCGAAGTTGCAACAGTTCCTGGAACAATTTCACAATAGCGAGGTTGTAACAGTTCCTGGAGCAGTGTCACAATAGCGAGGTTGTAACAGTTCCTGGAACAATGTCACAATAGCGAGGTTGCAATAGTTCCTGGAACAATGTCACAATAGCGAGGTTGCAATAGTTCCTGGAACAATGCCACAATAGCGAGGTTGTAACAGTTCCTGGAACATTGCCACAATAGCGGGGTTGTAACAGTTCCTGGAACATTGCTACAATAGCGAGGTTGCAACAGTTCCCGGAACATTGCCACGATAGCGAGGTTGCAACAGTTCCCGGAACATTGCCACGATAGCGAGGTTGCAACAGTTCCTGGAACATTGCCGCAATAGCGAGGTTGCAACAGTTCCTGGAACATTGCCACAATAGCTAGGTTGCAACAGTTCCTGGAACAGTGCCACAATAGCGAGGTTGCAACAGTTCCTGGAACAATGCCACAATAGCGAGGTTGCAACAGTTCCTGGAACAATGCCACAATAGCGAGGTTGCAACAGTTCCTGGAACAATGCCACAATAGCGAGGTTGCAACAGTTCCTGGAGCATTGCCACAATAGCGAGTTTACAACAGTTCCTGGAACATTGCCACAATAGCGAGGTTGCAACAGTTCCTGAAACAATGCTACAATAGCGAAGTTGCAACAGTTCCTGGAACAATGCTACAATAGCGAAGTTGCAACAGTTCCTGGAACAATGCCACAATAGCGAGGTTTCAACAGTTCCTGGAACAGTGCCACAATAGCGAGGTTTCAACAGTTCCTGGAACAGTGCCACAATAGCGAGGTTGCAACAGTTCCTGGAACATTGCCACAATAGCGAGGTTGCAACAGTTCCTGTAACAATGCCACAATAGTGAGGTTGCAGCAGTTCCCGGAACATTGCCACAATAGCGAGGTTGCAACAGTTCCTGGAACATTGCCACAATAGCGAGGTTGCAACAGTTCCTGGAACAATGCCACAATAGCGAGGTTGCAACAGTTCCTGGAACATTGCCACAATAGCGAGGTTGCAACAGTTCCTGGAACAGTGCCACAATAGCGAGGTTGCAACAGTTCCTGGAACATTGCCACAATAGCGAGGTTGCAACAGTTCCAGGAACATTGCCACAATAGCGAGATTGCAACAGTTCCTGGAACATTGCCACAATAGCGAGGTTGCAACAGTTCACAACTGACCAACAATTTGTAGAGGAAATATGCGAGTTCGTCTGTCCATCAGGGTTATTATTATAACTCAACTACTGACTGATAATCATGAGTTACTTGTCAACTGTCCAGTCCTTTCACTAATCTATTCTAACCCACCACAGTCCTCTGTGAGCCACCATAACCCACAGTAATCCTGCCCAGTCATTATACTTTATCCCACCACAACCTACTTTAATCCACCTCAACAAACCTTGTATATCTGCCCAGTCCTTTCACTAAAATACTTTAACCCTGCTCAGTGCTTTCACTTGCCCACCTTAACCATATCCAATCCTTCACTAACCCACCTTAACTATGTCCAGTCCTTTCATTAACCCACCTTAACCATGTCTAATCCTGTCATTAACCCACCTTAACCATATCCAATCCTTTCACTATCCCGTTTTAACCATACCGAATCCTTTCACAAACCCGCTTCAAAGCCCAACCCAGCTCAGCACAACCCACGTCCAAGCACCCACCTACCTGCCTCCCTGCGTGTCATGGACCTGGGTAATGGGCCAACACTCGTCCTTGTGTTTGGTCCAGTGTTGCCGCTGGTGTTCCTTGCTGCAGTAGTGGATGACACTACACCCACCGCAGCGTAGCGTGGCCGCAGCCCCGCACTGGCCGCATGCACCGCCGCTGCCTGTCATCACTGGCTACCTGCAGTACGAGTGAGTGTATCAGATAGGAGAGTTTATTTTTTTTATTTGGACATGATACATAGTTGTACAAAGAAATATAGTGATTGGGTGTACATGCCAAAAGCCCCTTGTATGCAGAACATTATGGGCAGGCTTTAAAATGAACTTGAGATTAACTAAGCAATGATATATTCAGTGGTAAGAATTACAGTAAACAAATTACAACATGAAGTACAAATGAGTATTTTAAATAAGCATTAAAGTTGTACAAATTTGTAACATAACAATGTATAATATAATCGAATCAGATCGAGTAAAATCAATGATTTGTAGTGCAGAAACAGGTCAGAAACGACTGATAGGTCAGAAATGGCTGATTGTAATTTTCTATGCAATCAGTTCTACAGTTAGTGTTCTATTTCCAGTGAATTACCATTCATTGATTCTTGCCTGATACAACATACTGCCAAAATTTAATATTTGTTGTTCTCGGTTAATCACTATTTGCCCATTATATTGACTGAATTATAACGAAATTACAAAACGGGTTAAATACGCGTAGCATCACAGAAAAAATATTGCGCTAGCATTATCTTTCTTCAAGGGGGTGGGGGTTATGCCTTGATACTGGTGAAGGGCTCTCGATCCAAGGAGCCGGAACAACCCTCCCTTGGATCAAACCTCCCATTCCCCAGGCGCTGCATGACCTCTACGGATTTAGTGCTTCATCACGATTATTGTAATTCTCGCAGAAACTCCGACAGCGACCTTGTGTTCGTTCAGTACGTTGTAGGAAACCTGCGGTATACCCGTGAAGGATTTTAAAGGGATTTTCTACCCTACCAACTCGACCTTTGGCAAAGCTTCCTTGCACAGTGCCTGTACGACCCGACTTGCTGTTAGCGGCCCGCTGGCTCAGTCATCACAGCCTTGTTGATGTGTCACTTAGCGCAGGTAGTGATCCGGTTTCCTAATCAAAACTTCCCAACTTGTTCTAGCAATATTTGTGACATTTGGTAGCATATTCCCGCATTTCACTAGATTTATTTTCACTTTCTCCCATATCTTACTCCAGTAATATTTTCGAGCTTCATATTATCAGTTATCTGTCGTATTTACTCCAAAGAGTACCTTCCAAGTGCTCTGAGGCATTTCCAATAACTTGAATGCTTTATTGATGATGCGTCAATAAACGATATTTGTTCCAGCGCTAATGTCTCTCCTGCCTCAATTGAACGAAGCTGTGCGCACAGTAATATTCTGTATGTTACACACGTGAGAGCACAGGTGATTTAAACAGACCGGGCTGCGGGGGCGTTGGCCCCCGAAACCCTCTCCAGGTATCACTGGCGTTATTTATTTTTTTGAAATTAGTGTATAACCTATCAAATCACAGAACAGATGGGGATCGAACCCATGGCAAGAGTGTCCTGAAACTTGCAGGCCAGTGGTCCATGTCGACCTATTAAGATCATCCAACTAGGTATATTTCTACATACCCTAAGAAGGTTAGCATGGGCCTCACTGTGACCACATACGTAGGTTGTGACAGGAATCTCGCACCGGCATGGCTGTGGTATACTCTAGCAGCTTTGAGGGAATTTGAGCTAGAGCACACCACAGCCATGCTGTTAAAACCTGCCTGTTAAAACTTGGGGTCCATGTTGACGCTCGTATGGTGTATAGAAATAGTATACGTAGTTGAATGAATCTTGTTAGGCCGACATGGACCAGTGGGTAACACTGCTCGCCTGTGAGTGTGAGGACTCGCTTATCACGGGTTAGAGATCCAACTGTTATGTGAATTGTTTGCAATTGTGTTTTTACAATTTCGTGAGTTTAACCTATCATTTTTCTGGTCTTTGCTGCATTTGTTGTGTTCTCTAATTGACATGAAGTTATTTACTTTTATTTTTGAGATGACTGGCCAGCATTTTGTATTCCTTCAACTTGGCCATATCTTAGCAACACTTATCATGGTATTTTTTATTTGTCCACTGTAAAACTTTCGTTAACGGCTGATTGTAATTTTCTATGCAATCAGTTCTACAGTTAGTGTTCTATTTCCATTCGTTGATTCTTGCCTGATACAACATACTGCCAAAATTTAATATTTGTTGTTCTCGGTTAATCACTATTTGCCCATTATGTTAACTGAATTATAACGAAATTACAAATCGGGTTAAATACGTGTAGCATCACAGAAAAAAAAATATTGAGCTATCTTAACTGTGTCATAGATGGACGGTAGGTACAGATTTATTCTTGAAATATAAATTTTGGTAGTTTGAGGGGCAACTCGAAATTATTTTTGAAGCTGTTTCAAGTTTCTTAAATCATGTTTTTGTTTTTTCAAAAGTCAAAGAGTTCACCATCATCGTAGTCTATAACATTCCTCATGCTATATAATATACATCATGCGTAGTGTTTCGAGCGGTATTTACCAATTATCATATTATACTATTTTGTCTTATGTATTTGCTTTTCTTCCTTACCAGTCAATGGCTTGCCGTGCTATTTGAAATTTTCATATCCTCTTTACATGCGGGTAGGCTTTCGTTTTCACTACTGATATTTCAAAACCCATTTCCATGCACTTTGTTTCAAGTTCTTTTTATGATATAGTAATTTTAACAGCATGGGAGATGAATCTGTGTATCAGCGTACCCAACGTACCCAGCAGTATAGCTGATTTTGGCGTCTGTGTAGCTTTAATATATCTAATAACTCTCGCCATCTTTGACGGGCAAGAGGTTGTTGCTTATTGAATTAGGAAGAAATCAATGACAAGTACAGCCTATTTCCGATATTACTTTGATTTGAATTTACAATTTCATTGGATATTTTTTATTACACCGTTGGAAATAGAGACTAAGAGCTGATATCTTACCTCATCTCATTTTAAAGCCTAGCTGCAACTAAGGTACACTACCACCCCCAGAAGTGACCACAACAATTTTCTAACACCCAGGTACCTGTGTACTGCTAAGTGAATAGGGCGTTATGTGTAAGGAGACTTCCCAAGGAATAAGCTCGGGCCCTTCTATTGTGAGCCGAAGGCAGGATGACAGTGTCGGATTAGACTGTATTTAGCCTGATATAGTATTGTAACCACGAGAGAGTGGTATCTAATCAATAACACTGCGACTAGCCGGGGAATCGAACCCGTGTTGTTTTAGCCCGCCTCATGGTGAGCGAAAATTCACGACGCTCTAACCCACTGGACCGTACAATCCTACAAGAACCACGCACCCAGCAGAGCTAGGTGTTATACCGTGATCCGAGGACACACGATGGTGTGGGTGCCTCAGAGCTAATTTCATACTATTCCCCGTTTAGGTGTACTAGCCTCCACAAGACAGTATATATAGTATTGTAACCACAAACGAGTGGTATTTAATCAATAACAAGACTGAGACACGTGTTCGATCCCCCGGCTAGTCGCAGTGTTACTGATAGCATAATATTTAATTGGTATTTCCTCTCATAAGACATTGACATTCAGCAATTACACCTAGATATTTTCATAGTTGTCATTTCTGCGAAACGTAATTGAATCAAATAAGTATATATAGATTTTGATATTTTATTGTTATTGTGTTCATAGACTATTCATATTTTATTAAAAATAAAATACATTTATGCTAAAGAAAACTTATTTTTTCCCTTCACGTTTCAAGGTTTCACGGTGGTTTACAGTGTTACTTTTAACATTATCTAAATATGATGTCAGGTTAAACTATGATTTATTCAACTATTTAGCACTTATGAATACTGTTATAAAACTATGATAATGAGAGGCCATCATTGATTGAATAATAAGGAATTACCACACCTATACGCTAATACTGTTCGTGTGTATGATGTAACATTTGTTAGGATGAATGAAACCTACAGTAACATAATCTAATTTATTAACTGTAACTGGATAGGTGATCATATGTGATTTTTTTTTATTTGCTTGAAAGACCTCGACAAACTTTGGGCTTAGACTTGTATTGATATCAGGCTATACACGACTCTGGGACTTTATGGTATGCATAACTGGCTTTGTCTTGATGTCATGGTATGCATAACTGGCTTTGTCTTGATGTCATGGTATGCATAACTGGGTTTGTCTTGATGTCATGGTATGCATAACTGGGTTTGTCTTGATATAAGGGTATATAGAACCATAAGATCTGAGGCGGTCGCTTACTCATTTACGACAGTGTAAGTTTACTAGGTACAGGTCCGCATAAGTACAATTGTCATACATGGTAACGTGTGTAAATTACGCACCAGGATAACCAAAAAAAGTCAAAGGGACATATTTCCATGGGAGGAGGTGTATATTTGTTTATATACACTGAGATGTATATCACTGTCCTTTAATCCCTATAATAGGGATTAAAGTATTCTTGATATTAATATACAGACAACTATGAGTCTTAATAGCCCACGTGCTTTAAAATTAACAAACAAAAGTACTCACCAGAGTATAGACGAGTCTTCTCAAATCTCTTCTTCTGATAATAAATTCCTTGTTATAGTTCCTGTTGGTGTGTAGTCACGTCTCTGGATGGAGAGAAAAGTTCGTTGTGGAGCACCCATGTAAAGTGTAGCCACATTGTCTGGCCCTCCCGGCTCCACACACCAAAATACTATCCGACACCTTGCCAGGTGCAGCTGCCTGCCACGTCCCTGCCCACCCCTCAGTGGATGAGTATGTGAGAGCCACACACAACACCATGTGTTGTATCCAACATACTAATAGTTATGAGTGAAACGGCATAATTACTCGTGTATCTTTTACTTATTTTCTTATTTTGAAGTCTATTCATCTGCAACCGGTTCCTTACTCCACCCCATCCCTTCTCCCTGCTTCTCATTTTTTCCCCTTCCACCACCCCCTTCCTCTCAACCCCCCCCCCCATCCACAGTAGTGCCAGGATGGACAGTCGGCATGTGGTGACACTCAGATCAAGAAAGTACCAGAAGCGTCCCGGGTCTTTTGAGCTATTGTGTGCCAATATACCCTAGTGTTTCAGGAGTGTCTTTAGTATTTTTAACATGAAAAGTGGTTTACAATCCCCATCCCTCATATACACACACCGCTAGGATAGGACGTCACTTTTTGAAGCTTCCGTTGCTACTAAACCCTTAGCGGAGCACTTGCAAATATACTCATTACTCTACTGAAGTCTCCCAGATCAGACTAACCGTCACTAACATATTTCATCATTTGAAATAAGGAACTTATTACCTGGAGTTTACCTGAGATATGGAATATAAGAGTAAAGTTAGGGCAGCTTTTGTTCTAACTTTGTAACAATCAGAGAGAAGAAGATAGCAGCACACTGCATATGAACCCAGATTTCTTTTAATAAAACTTTACTTCAACGCCTTAAATTTGTCATCACTAGTGGGCAAATAAACCACAGGTTGCATGACAGGTGAGCAAATTACATGTAAATACACGAGTACCTGTATATATATTATATATATATATATATATATATATATATATATATATATATATATATATATATATATATATATATAAAATATGATCTTCCTTCGTCACTTAATGGCTGTGTAGGTGTAACACCTGGTTTAGAAAGATGTGAACAAACACTAGGCCATACATATTGTAACAGGTTAAAAGACAGACACACACAATATTTTGTGAAGAGATTCAGGGAAACCGGTTAGCCGGACACGAGTCTTGGAAATGGGAAGTACAATGCCTGAACTTTAAAGGAGGGTTTGGGATATTGGCAGTTTGGAGGGAAAGTTTATTTATTTTTGGGTCACCCTATATATATATATATATATATATATATATTATATATTTATATTTATATATATATATATATTATATTATTATATTATATATATATATATATATATATATATATATATATATATATATATATTATATATATATATATATATATATTATTATATTATATATATATATATATATATATATATATATATATATATATATATATATATATATATATATATATATTATATATTATATTATATTATATATTTATATTTATATATATTATATATTTATATTATATTATATTATATATTTTATATATATATTATATATTTATATATATATATATATTTATATTTATATATATATATTATATATTATATATATATATATATATTATATATTTAATATATATATATATTATTATTATATTATATATATATATTATATTATATATAAATATGTATATTGTCCATGCAATTGGTAAGCACTGCGTACTGGTTCAAGTCGAGTTCAGTCTCCTTCAGCCAGAGATCAGTGTTTGTGTAATTTCGCCTGCTCTTGCTAATTATGTATATTATATATATATATATATATATATATTATATATATATATATATATATATATATATACATACACACACACACTACACACCGTGAGGTGCGAGTGATACATGGTGACCTGAAGAATGCTATATGGGACGAGGACAGGTAGACAGTGGGATGATGTGACTCCTGTGTTGTTGGGCAGGTATGATACCTACCATTGTGTGTTTGTGTATGTGATAGCTATTCTATGTACGGTATTTGACGTTCCTGGCGAACATTTATTCTGGGCCTCCTCTGCCTTTCCCTGATACCCAGTTACCAACAAAAATTAATATTGTGTATTAGCAGTTGATTGAGTAAAGCATTCACGATAAATAATTTTTTAGATAAAAATGAAGAAAATATAAGTATTTCCAAATTCACCTGTACAGTTTTCAGAATTTTTAAAATTTAACGTTCTTTGCGCCCAGTTTCCCAGGTGTAAATCAGAGAACACAATGTTATATAATAAGTAACATTTGCAACAGTTATGTATCGATTCTGAAACGTTTTACCTACACTGGCTCTGGTGGCCTGGTGGTTAACGCTCTCGCTTCACACGGTGAGGGCCTGGGTTCGATTCCCAGCCAGAGTAGAAACATTGGACGTGTTTCTTTCCACCTGTTGTCTATGTTCCCCATCAGTAAAATGGGTACTTGGGTGTTAGTCGACTGGTGTGGGTCGCATCCTGGGACACTGACCTAAGGAGGCCTGGTCACAGACCGGGCCGCGGGGGCGTTGACCCCCGGAACTCACTCCAGGTAAACTCCAGGTAAACACTGTAGGATTCTTCAGTCGAATACAGAGGCGGCAGCGGAAGCAGTAGACATGTATAATTAGTCCCTCACCCTTGAACACGTAGTTTTGAGATGGTCAGTCCCTCAGCCTGGAGAAGGGTTGTTCTCCTTAGTCTGGAACATTGTTCCAGACAATGTCGGAATTGTATACACAACGGTGAATATACACAACGGTGAATATTTGCACCGTTTAACCAATGTCTGAGGAATTAAAATATATTTAGTGGTGTTCAGATTACGCAGCAATTATGACCCTTGACCCTGGTGACATGTATGTCGTACCGAATAGGTAAAACTTGCTATTTTAGCCTAAATAGCAACGCTCTTCTTGCCAAATAAGGTAAGCGAAAGTTTGTGTATGCAATATTTTCTCAAAAATCATTCTGAACCTAACGAAAAAATGTTTCACTGTTTGTTTATTATTAAATTATTGTAAACTTATCTAAAATATATTTAGTTGGATTGGGCTAAATTAAATTACGCTTGTTATAATAAGGTTAGGTAAGTTTTTTGAGATTCTTTTGTACATAACTATTACTTTTTACCATAACATAAATTAAAAAAAAATGCATCTTAAAACATATAAGAGAAAATTTTAGAAAGGACTTAATTTTAAATGAGTTTTTGCTGATTGACCAAATTTAACTCTTCGGCACGACATATATATATTGGGGTGGTCCATAAAATCGAACAATAGATTTTTCAGCTCCCCATTGCTCCCTCCCGCTTAATTACCTATAGGAGAAAAATGTGGTGGCTCATGGGGCAATGTTCTCTTTACTAAGGTCTAATCCAATGCTATTTATTCTCTTTTTCCGTCCTTTCACCGGTTGGATTGTTATAGTATGGAACAGATATTCATAGATACAAATACACCATACATTATTTCATATTTTTTTACGTTTACTTAAGGTGACGAGGCATTTCTAAAACATACGGGACTCACGAAATCGTAATGACACGGTTGCAAACAAACCATACCACGAGTGGGGTTTGAACCCGCGATCAGTGTCTCAAAATTCGACGGTCTTGAGTTCAAACCCCACCCGTGGTTGTTTTTTTTTTTTTTTTTTTAAACATACGGGTTTTTCCTGGACAAGAAATGTAAGGCAGTGGCCAGGTCTTGGGTGTTTTTTGTGCTGTCTGGTGAACAGTAAAGAGACCAAAGTGACGGAGAAGTATTTTTCATTTGGGAAAGACACTTTACACCACAGAAACACTGCACTGCATGGATCACTCTCTGGTGAAGCTTTTGATCGTGTTCAAATTGTGGCAGGCTCGAAGTCTTTCAAAATCATGCTGAATAATTTGTTTAAGATAGGCTAGGATCGTAGAGTTATATTAATTCCAATAATTAGTTATTAGCCATTGAAAATGTGAATAAATTATTTAGAAAACCGATAAGTCGATAAATGACACTCGTGCAACAGTGTTGCGTGATATGTGTACTTGCAGCTAAAATGTGAGCGATCTCTTTGTAAGTTGCAGCCTCTGACATAAGCTGCAGAAATCTTGTCCAAGATGAGGCTACCTCGGTTGGATTATTTATGGACAACCGTTTCAGCTGGAATTATCACATTGCTGGACACCTTCACACGAGTCGATTTCATGTTTATCTAAATTTTAAGACTTGTATCATGAGTTGGTGAACGGATAAAGCGAAGGAAAATTTTCGTGTACATATCGAGTACAACGTCCATTTTGACTGGATTAAGGTATTAGTAAAGTCAAGTTTTAAGAGTTTTTGTGCATGTAATGATGAGAAATTTCAATTACTCCGATATGGTAAACGTGAAGAAATTAAAACTTCATCGGAGTATAAAACAAATTCCAACCACACAATAGAGGGAACAACTAACGTCAAAGACCTGAGAGTGATCATATCAGAGGATCTCACTTTCAAGGACCATAACATTGTATCAGTCACATCTGCTAGAAAAATGACAGGATGGATAATGAGAACCTTCAAAACCAGGGATGCCAAGCCCATGGTGACACTCTTCAGGTCGCTTTTTCTATCTAGGCTGGAATATTGCTGCACACTAAATACCTTTCAAGGCAGGTGAAATTGCTGACCTAGAAAATGTACAGAGAACCTACACGGCACGCATAACTGCAATAAACCACCTCAGTTACTGGGAACGCTTGAAGTTCCTAAACCTGTACTCCTTAGAACGCAGGAGGGAGAGATACATATACACCTGGAAAATCCTCGAGGGACTAGTACCAAATTTACACACGAAAATCACTCCCTACGAAAGGAAAAGACTGAGTAGACGGTGCAACATCCCCCAAGTGAAAAGCAGGGGTGTCACTAGCACGATAAGAGGCAACACATCTTATGTATGCCTCCCAGCATACATAAGGGGGATTACCAATAGACCCCTGGCTGTCTTCAAGCAGGCACTAGACAGGCACCTAAAGTCAGTACCTAACCAACCAGGCTGTGGTTCGCACGTTGGATTACGTGCAGCCAGTAGTAACAGCCTGATTGATCAGGCCCTGATCCTCCATGAGGCCTGGTCACAGACCGGGCCGCGGGGGCGTTGACCCCCGGAACACTCCATGTATACTTCAGTGATGTAGATCATTGATTCAGAAACTGAGAGGATAATGAATTGCAATTGGGTAATGCTTGGGTAATTTATTGTACTTAGTGGTACATGTCCGTGCAGCACGAGCTGCTGCTTCCCAGGCTTCTGGAATCGCGAAACTCATTTGAACTGGTATCAGCATC